AGACTCTTAGGGGGGGGAAAAAAAAAGAAGTATGGTTTAGATTTAGGCCAGCAAAGGGCCGGCTGCTGGTCGGGCTGGGACGGGGTTTTGTCTCTTTTTAAGTCAATCTCTGTCAGAGGCAGCACAGCCTCGAGCTGCTCCGTGCCCCTTCCCGCAGCTGGAAACAGATGGGCCCAGCATGGCCCCCACCCTGCCGGGCTCTCCTCCCCCTGAGGAGGGTCCAGCCCCACACCCCACAGAGCAGCCCCACGGCTGGGAATGCCAGGGGGACCCTCCACGGCATGGGGGTGCCACTGGGTCTGCCCCCCTCCCCGAGAAGCTGCTGCTGCAAAGTTGGTGCTGGGGAAAGCACGTGCACATCCCACCGATCCCCTCTGCATCCCACAGATCCCCTCTGCATCCCACAGATCCCCTCTGCATCCCACAGATCCCCTCTGCATCCCACCCATCCCTCCAGCACCTCAAAGCTCTCCCCAGGGGCTCCAGAGCGGAGGGGGCTCCATGCCGCGCTCCGGCAGAGGGGGTTGGGAGGAGGATGCTGGGGACGGGCGATGCTTCTCTCCCACCYCAGCACCTTCCCAGCCGCCACCCTGACCCCGAGAACGACCCCAGCCCCCCGCAATGCTCCCGGCTCGGCAGCACCTGCCAGGCCCCGYGTGTGCCCGAGCCCAGGGGACGAGGCCGGGCACATGGCGGGAGCAGCTCCGGCCCTGCTCACACGCATCAGAGCCATGGAGGGAGGGAGGGAGCAGCTGGGTTGCCATGGAGGAGAGGAAGCAGCTGAGAGAGAAACCTTTCCAGGCAGGGAGGAATCAGTGGGGGACGCGGGCAGAGGCTGCCGGGCTCCCCGCGGCCGGAGGGCGGGGGGAAACATCTCTGCACGGTTTGGAGGTGGAGGGGCCACATCTGCCCTCTCGATTGATGGAGCCGGGGGAAGGAAACCTCCTCCCCTCTCCATCCCTGTGGATGCTGAGCGGCTCGGCTCTCCTCCCCCCAGCCCCACCGCTCCCTCTGCTCCACAATGTGAGCTGGGCCGTCCTCAGCAGCCACCTCCGGGTTGCACAAGGGCCAACCTGTCCCCTCGGAGCGATGCTCCCGGCTCCTCCTGGGCCTGCTCCTGCCTTCCTGGCCGCCTGCGCTGGCTTATGCTGCTCCGTGCAGATAACCCCATAAATCCCCCGCTCCTGCCACCTACTCTTAGATTAAACAAACTGGCCCAGGAGAAGCGGGGAGACAGGCGGGGGCTTAGATCTTTAAAATAAAAAAAGAAATAGTATATCAAATCTCTTCACGCCCAGAAAATCCAGCCTGATGGCAGCTGGGGAAGGATCCCAGCCGCACCTCCTGGCAGAGGGATGGGGAAGGAGGAGGGGAAGGAATCGTGGAGCAGAAGTTGAAGAGCCTGTTGGGCAGGGGTGCGGGCCGGGAGGGATGTGCGGGCTCCTCCTCGGCTCAGACCCGCCGCGGGGCTGCTCTGAACCCCCCCTGGGCCTGCCATTGAGCAAAGTCCCCCCCTTCCTTCCTGGGATGCATAATAAAAGGAAGTGATAAAGGAAAGGAAGGAGGGAGGTGGAGGAGAAAGAAAAGAGGCAGGAAGGGCACCATCAGGGCTTTGTGAAGCCCCTGTCCTGGTGGGGGGGGTGGTAATAAAACCCCTCGTGGAGCCAGCGCTGCTGGCGGGATGTGGGCCTGGCGGGGTGCGGGGGCACCATCCGGGGGGGGCGGCTGAGCCCCGGCATGGCCACTTCGCACCGAGCCGCGTGTGTGCGCGCCCCCGGTGAGCCGGGCTCGGCCTCGCACCGGCCCCACATGGCCCCAGCCCCACGGCCGGGTCCCGCTCCCTCCCCGTGCACCGGCCGCGGCCCCACGCACCTTGCACGTTGCCGGCCCCGCGTTCTGTCCCGGGGCTGTCCCGGGGCCGTGCGGGCCCCCCGGGCGCCGTGCGGGGCGTTTGCATCGAGTAAGTGGAGCAAAGTCGCTCCGCGGTGGGATCAGCGGAACCGGGGACCACCCCGGGCCGCCGCGGCCCGCCAGGTGCATCACGCTGCTATTAACAATAATTAATACCGATAATAAAGCGAGGAACCGCCAGCCGCACGCAGCCGCGTCCCTGCAAAGCTCCACACGCCGGGGCCGATCGCGCCCCGCATGCGGCGAGGGGAAGCAGAGCCCCGGCCCCCCGCGCCCCCCGCAGCAGAAGGAAGAGGAAGGTGGCACTTACAGTCAGCTTGATCCCGGAGCCGGGCGTTCGGGGTGGGTTTTTGGGGCCGGTTTGATGGTTTTGTTTTTCCCGGCGGGTTTGTGTTGCGGAGCGAAGGGACCCCCCGCCCGCGGCGACTGCGGATCTGCAAGGAGAAGAGAGAGGCTGCGGCTCAGCCCCGCATCCCCGGCCCCRCCAGGCCCCGCGTATTTATATAAATAATAAAGAGAGAGAAAAAAAAAATGCTCCAGGAGGAAGGAAGCTGGGTCAAAATCATTTGCAGGGAACGAGGAAAAAAAAAAAAAGGGGGGGGGGGGAAAGGGGGGAGAGGGGGTGAAAAAAAAAACCGGAGCGAGCTCCTAGCCTTACTGGAGGGGATCCAGCTGCTAAAAATAGCAAAATCACACTCGAAATTAAATAAGGGCAAACAGGCGAAGGGAGCTCCCAGCGCCGGCGGAGCGGGGGAGGCGGAGCCGGGGCCGCATCACGGTGGGGGCGGCGCGGGGCGGCGCGGCCGGGAGCGATAGGGCCGTTCAAAGCGCTGCGGCGGCGGCTGCGCCCCCGGCCCTGCCCGCCGAGGGTCCCCGGCTGTGGATGGCGGGTTTTTGAGGGGCTGGAGGCAGCGCCGGGATGGAATGAGGCATTCCCGTCCTCCCGGCMTGGGATGCTTCAGGAATGCTCCCGGCTGGGGCCGTGCGGGGGGAGCGGCTCCTCCCCCCCGGCTGGGTGACCCCACGATGAGGGACCCCCGATAGGAAAATCCCCAGACCCCCCTTCTCCGTGTTTAGGCTGGCGTGGGGGGTTCGGTGTCCCCGTGGGGGCGATCACCGGCCAGGGCCCGGCCATGCGGTGGTGGCCAAAGCACGATGCTCCTTCTGCGTGCTGCCTCCTCCCCAAGTAACCCCCCCAAAAGCTTTTGGTGCCCATCTGGAGGCACCAGCATTAACGGCTCCATCCCCAGGGCCGCCCGGATCGTGTCTCGATATTTATTTAATGTGTTAGTGCAGCAGCGCTGCCGAAAGGAGAGGCTGCTGTGGGTTCTGCTCAGTGCAGTGGGGTTTTGGGGGCTGCTCCTTATTGGTGCAGTGGGATTTGGGGGGTTGTTGAGCGGGCCCAGAAACTCTCCTGAGATTTAAGCATGTGCTGGGCTCAGTCTGCAGTAAAGAGCTTTGTTCAGAATTCTGGAAGTAAAATCATCTCTCCAGTGAAGTACCCCAAAAGCGAGGTCCCTGCCATGTCAGGGCAGGGTTTCCAAGATGTGTGGAGCATTTGGGATCTCGKGGTGGTTTCCCTTGATGGGATACCAGGAAATCCAGAGCTCAGYGTCCTCTCCATGATGGGATTGTGTTAAATTTCCCCAAACTTCTGTGAAAACAACAATCACAAGTTTAATGGAAACTGATGTAGGTGCTTTTGACCACCCTAACTCTTAAGGGTTGAAATCTGAAGTGAGGATCTGAGCTTCAGAGTGCTGGATTTAAGTTTCAGGCAAGTTTTTATTTAAAAAAGAAGAAAAGGGTCCTTTAATAAGATGAAATGTGAAAAATATCAATATCTGCCTGTGCAAAACTGCTCTGAAAGGGAAGTTTGCAATGCAAAACAAACCAAACCAAACCCAGCCAAGCTTGGGGCGCTTGTTTCTGCTAATTGTTATTTGGATTTTTCAAATCCCCTGCAAATTCCCCTGCCTAAAACACAATCGGAGCAGTGTCCCTTTCTGACAGTTAAAAAATGAAAGTAAAGGGGGGGGGGAGCCCTCCTGCAAGAGGGTTCCTGCTCTCAAACACCTGCAGGAAGAGCAAGCACCACCCTGCCTGCACCCCAGTGCAGCTCCTGATCTGAGCTGTGGTGTCTCCCCCATCTGAGGGCCTTGCATCCAGGCAGGGGGTTCTGTGCAGAACCCGAGCATTTTTATTTTTTTTTTACTAAAATTAGTGTTTCCCCATCTGCAGGAAACCCTGCCTGGGTTTGGAGGTGCCTTTTGCCCCGGCGCTGCCTCTCGGACTTCCCCTTTGTCGTTAGCCCGATGAGGAACTTGGTTTCTGTGCTGGCAGAGGCTCGTTGTTATTAATAACCCTCGTTATTTACTCTGCAGTGGCAGTGAATGGCAGCAGCCTGAGCACTGCAAACGGCTGGAGCTGCTCTGCTTTGCTTTGATCCCTCCAAATTTTGGCAKTTTTGAGCCCACCTCGGGGCCTCCCCACGCCGGGTTCACCCGTGGAGTGACCACTTGGTCTTTAAAAAAAATAGCGCTGCAGTGGTTCCCCAAAAACTAAAGAGTGGTGGGGACATGGCCACTGGAACACAACCACGTGCAAGGAGGGGAAAAGAGGGAAAAAACTGGGCTGGAGCAGAGCCCAGGGCTGGGCCCAGGAGCGCAGAGYGGGAAGATAATTTTCACTTTTGTTTCTGCACTTGGGTTCCTGGTTTACAGCTCGTGGCTGAGTGGGATTGGGAGCAGGGCTGGGTAAGCWCCCCCAGCCTGTGGGTTGGGTTCTGCAGCCAGAGCAGAAGCTGAAAATGGCTGGAAAGAGGGAAACAAATGATTTATTATCCC